GATTTGTCTTGAGAATATGAAAATATGTACAACTCATGCTCCTCTTATTAGCTGGAAGTATGTGGAGTGACAACTTCTAGCTCAAGTCATGCGACAATTTGCTAGTGTACAGTCCACAACAATTGAGCATATAGACCGATCATTTTGAAGGATTGATGGCCGAGGAAAACTAGATACACACTGGATGCATTATTATCAAAATTATATTGTTTTATGGAACAACCATCAGACCTCATATTACTATTGAACCCACCTTTGGGCGATGAAAGTGCATAACTGACACATTACTTGCAATAGTATAGATCCTAAGCATCAATCTACCTATTACAACAGTCTACTGAACCACCAAATATTTACTACACTAGGACACTTGGAGAGAGATTAATGATGTGTATATAATTTATATTTAATTTATACTTGCTTTCTCTCATACCTCACCTTGATACAATTAATTATGAATATATACAGGTGGACTACTACATACGACCAAGGGCCTTGCTAGAAGATTCGCTGGTGGCCATGACAAAGATGTCATAGCAATGCAAGAAGGTTACGATGAATTCACAGGACTTTCCAACTGTGAATCGATCACTCCAATATTCATTACATAGCGCTTGACCAATTAACAGAACAAGCTTCCCAATGATCAACTTCTAATATTCTACGACAGTCACCAACAAACTTCACAAGAGGATTGATTGTAGAAGCTCTGAGAAGAACTTTTGCTTAGTTCTAATCCCTCAACATATGCATGACCCTCAACATATCAGAACTTTCAACATCACATGAGCGTCTATCTTATGCTCCACATTGCACTACTTCTAAGAGTGGACACTTGGATTTTTAATTTCATTTTTGACCTAGGTACGGTGGACCTCTACTCTACATGCAACAAGAGATTCCAGTTATCGCATCAACTGATGAAGAGATAATAAAATAAAATGAAGAGGAACGCTAGACATAAAAATGACCACTACGAGCGCTGTCAAGATATACTCCAGAATCAGGTGCTATTCGACCACGCCAAAGAAGATAGATATTGTATAATTTTTAAATTAATGTAAAATTCATTATTATTTCAATGAAAACTGAAATTATTTTAGAATATGTGTCATTCAAAACTTTTAATTTTGAAAGTTCAAATTTATTAGAGTAGATTATTTAAACAATTTAAATTAATTTCAATATAATTTAAATACTTTAATTTATATTTTCCTTCAATTAGCATAAATTTATATTTTTTTAAAATGAAAAATTTATTTATATAAAAATATTTAACTTAAATTAATATATCAATTAATGCCAAAAAAATACGTTACATATAATTCATTAATAAATATAATTTCTTAATAATTTTATTTAATTAATACATATAATTCTAGAAGACTTGATACTAATTTATCCCTACTTTAAAAATTATTTATTATAATTCATTAAATAAATTACTTATTTAAAAATATCATTAAATATAATTTATATTTTTAAATTTATATAATTTTTTAAATTATATAAATTTTAATAAAATTATTAATTGAATTATTTAATTAAATTATTATCATTTTAATATTATAATATATCTTTTATTTTAATTATGTAATCTTAACTAAAATATAATTAATTAATAAAGGTTTAATTTTAAAAAAAAAACTACAGATTTTATTATAATATTTTTTTATTTTTTTATATAATATTATAATATTAATTTAATAAATAAATCGTGGGATAACCCCAAGTTTAATAAAAATATTATTTTTTTAAAACTTGATTGAATCATGTGTTTTTGCCACTTTTCAGGTTAGCTCCTAGTTCCTATTCCCTTGCTCCTTTTTAAAATTTTCCCAAACTAACCACCCAGATTACACCAAACAAACTTCCAAAAATAGCTTAAAAGATTCTCATTTCTGATATATTGGACCTCCCTTAGGGGTGACAATTAGGAAGGTAGATTGTATGTCTGAAAATCAAAAAATTTTCTATCTAGCATTGCCATTTGTCGAGCGTCGGCTCCTCGACCTTATGACCATCTTGGATAACCAAGTCAATCTTGTTGAAGCTCAGCTTAACGCCTACAAAAAAGGTAGTTTGTGAAACCACATCTCCAAATTATATCTGAATGTCTATTACCTCAGACTTAATTCCTTTTAAAATAAATAGCCAATGATAATCCTATTGGAGACTCTCTTAGGCTCAGTTTGAATCATTAGTACCTCTCCCTCATCGGCTACAAGTTGATACTCCTTTCCATGCTCCTTGGGTCTTCATTCTCTATCCCCCTCCAATGACACCTTGTCTGGTGAAATTTATCATTTTCCTGTTTCGGCAATTATATATAATGTTCCCAAAGTAGCTTGAAGCACATCCTAGTTGAGACAGATTTGTGAATGCTAGAAGTCTCCACTTTGTCGACATTCTGAACTAATTTTTCATTTAGCGGGATAGACAAGGATGCTCCACTATGTGTAATCCTACTGCCTGATTCTGGGTTTGAACTATGTTTGAAGGGTGGTATAGACCTGATACTGCAATATTGTCTCCCCACTTTTAGAGCTAAGGCTTGCAAATCCTGCAATGTCCAATATGATTGCAACTGTACCAACTTGCCAATAGACGATATCAATTCACCAAGATATCGAGCTATGGTATTCCTTCGTGCTCCACTAGCTCACATTGCAATATAAGCTGCTTGAACTCAATTGTGTATTCCTCTGCTGAGAGGTCTTATTGTTGTAATTGGTAAAGCCTCAAGAATATAAAATGTCTACAATGTGATGGTTGGTGCTTGCATTGCATTTTCTTGTCATCTTGAACCAGGTAGCAATTTTGCTTTTTTTCATCATGTTGGCGTAGTGGCTTCAAATTTTTCCACAACAAAGAGACACTTGTCAATTGGGGAATCATTGCATTTAAAAACTCGTTTCACAATATGAAGACATTCATTACACTCGTCCAGGTCCATGTTACCGTCCAACTATGGTAAGTCCACCTTGACATTGAAATCACCTTCTCTCCTTCTATATTCAATGCTAAATAAGGCGACATCAACTCTTAATTACTTGAAGCTTCTTGTTGGAAAGAATTCTCTTCATCTCCTTCACCTAGGTGGTCACCGCTGTTGTTTTGTCTGACTTCCCTATGTTGGCTTCTTTCAAAATTAACGAGCTTCTACTGCATTTGGAGGATTTTTTGTTTCATATCCTCCATAGTAAACTTCTGAACATCTATTTGCAGATTTCTCCTGGGCCGCATGGCATCTTTTCCTCCAAATCAGTTTAGGAAAGATGTAAGATTGCAAATAACAGTTGGCCGGGGGTTTAGATTTTGGTGTGTTGGGGTGAAATTTTGTTTAATATAGGAAAGCTGGATTTTGAAAATTTAGGTTTAAAGTTAAGAATTGTGATATGAATGGTTTGCGAATGATGCAAATTTTTTTTTAAATTTGGATTGTGATAAAAAAGTCAAAACCCTAAAAACCTAGGGCTTGCCGGGCTTTGATACCGGATGAAACTGTTCTAGAGCGTATATTTGGTATTTATGAAGG